GCTTTTGTGCTTTATCCCCATGTTCTTAATTATCTCCTTTTCCCTTAAAACATTAGGTACCTCTCTCAAGCATCGAAGGCACAGGACCTGAAGGACGGATAGTGAAGGCTGATGTCGAAGATTTCTTAGGTATCATAACTCCTTGGCAATTCCATCCCTTACATTTTCCTCCATGTCTTTCTTGCCTCTGTTTACAGCACTTAAACCTTCGCTTTGTCTACATCTTCATATGGTACAGCTTCACGCGGTAAAGAAACTACTGCCAAGCCTTCCAAGGTCACCGATTCAAAGGTTCCAGCATTGGACTATGTTGACATCCCTCACTCTCAAATAAGAAAGGTAAATACCTATATAACCTTTTACGTCAGTCACTTATCGGGTTTCTTAATTTATGGCAAATTTCCTCCCGTCCATGGATTCTGAAATCTGTTTATTGTATGAATTTGACAGGTTACAGCCTTACGTTTAGCATTCTCAAAGCAAACTATTCCTCACTACTACTTGACGGTGGATACTTGTGTTGACAAAATGATGGGGTAAGTATTATTAAGTTTCAGAAGATGTATTTTTGTTTCAGTCAATGGATGTTAGACATAGCTACCTTTATATGCAGTCTTAGGAGTCAACTCAATTCATTCCAAGAGGCTTCCGGTGGCAAACGGATATCTGTAAATGATCTTGTTATTAAGGTATATCGTACTTCTGTTTTGCAAGGAAGACCAATAAAATCTCCTTCTCTTTCTCCGTTGTGAATTTATTTTTATTTGAAATCACAGGCTGCTGCATTGGCTCTACGGAAAGTTCCTCAGTGCAATAGTTCATGGACAGATGAATATATCCGCCAGTAAGTGTATTTGTTGCTTCAGAGGTTCATGACAACTTTGCAAATCATCTATCTAATTTATTCGATCTTTTGTTTTTCCCTTTGATGTACAGATTTAGCAATGTAAACATCAACGTTGCAGTACAAACAGAAAACGGGCTTTATGTTCCTGTTGTCAAGGTACTGGAGCACTCGATACAGTTATTAACCTTTCTCTGCATAAACTTGAGATTACTGAGAAACTCAGTCTCAGTTCATCAAATTGCTTGATTTCAGGACGCAGACAAGAAAGGAGTATCCACAATTGGAGAAGAGGTTCGATTCTTGGCTCAAAAAGCAAAAGAAAACAGCTTGAAGCCTGAAGATTATGAGGTTAGATCAGAATTTGGTCACCGCTCACGAATAATGCTGCTCCGAAAGCAAATTGGCTCAAACTGTTTCTTTTGACAGGGAGGAACATTCACAGTCTCTAACTTGGGAGGACCTTTTGGCATCAAACAGTTCTCTGCTGTCATCAATCCACCTCAAGCTGCCATTCTAGCAATCGGATCAGGTAAGCCCTAACCAGACGCTCATCCACTCTATCCAGTGAAGTTTCTTCCCCGTAACCGATTGTATTGTTGTGTCTGGATCTCAAAACAGCTGAAAAGAGGGTTGTTCCGGGTAGTGGTCCTGACCAATTCAACTTCGCTTCTTACATGACTGTAACACTAAGCTGTGACCACCGCGTAATAGATGGTACACATCCACCTCCCACTCCTATGCCATTATCATCAGCATCTCATCGAAAGCGTCTAATAAGTCAATGTCCTTGTGCAGGTGCTATTGGAGCTGAATGGTTGAAAGCATTCAAGGGTTACATCGAGACCCCAGAATCTATGTTGCTCTAAAATCCC